AAGCTGTCCAAGCAGTACTTCCAGGTATGCATTCTAGGTATCAGGGTTTTGATACAAGATTTTGAGTAGGTTTTTTTTTGTTGTTGTTGTTTTTTGTCTTGCAGATGATTAAAAAGTGTGTTTCAATGCACGAGATTACCAAGGCCACTAACGGGTATTGTAAGGAGAGTAACAAAGAGTTTTTAAATACCAGCAGCTAAGACTGTCATCACAGAAGTGAGAGAGCATAGGAGAGGGGACTGCAGAGGAGGTAAACCAGATACATTCAGGATTCACTGAGCTCTTAGTTTTTCAGCCATACTGTCATTTGCAGGTGTCAGCTTGATGCCTATTACACTTTAGAGAAATGCAGTGTTTACCTAACACTGGGCATTACTGTTAGCTTCTACTTGCAATCACAGAATCATAGAATTGTAAGGGCTGGAGGGGACCTCCAGATATTGAGTCCAAACCCCCTGCAAAGCAGGCTCCCTACAGCAGACTGCGCAGGTAGGCACCCAGGCTGGTCTTGCATATCTCCAGAGAAGGACAATCCACAACCCCTCTGGTCAACCTGTTCCAGTGCCCAAGAGAAAATGTGTGGTAGACCTGATGTGCTCAAAGGGTGACAGTGCCAACCTTTAGGGCTTTCCCTCATGTTCCTGGGTGAGCAGCAGTAGCTCAGGCACGCCTGGGAAAACCCAGGGACTGTGTTTAGGGCATTGTGCCACCAGCCCTAGTAATGCGTGTCAGCATGGCATGCTTTTGGTACCTCCTCTTGCCATCAAATGTGGATGCTAAGTTTAATCTCTGCACGTCATCCCTCTGAGTGATTCATGGATGGTGATAGCACATAGCATGTGACAGTTTCTGGAGTTCAGCAGCTATTTGCTCAGAGAGAGAATGTACAAATGTAGTAGGCGTAGCGAGGACACGGTGTGTGACGGGGTCAGGTCCCCTATGCTCAGGGCTTGCCAGGTGCTGTCCCACGATAGGACAGCGTGAATGCAAGGGGTGTAGACAAAGCAGGGACGAGAATATTTAAGTGCCTGCTACATTTTAATAAACGCCATTTTGCTTCACCTATACTTGGGGTCTGTGTGAGCATTTGGCCCCGACCTGGTATGGGGTCGGTTTCGCTGGCAAAGCAGCACCTTATGGGGTGGAAAACGAGTGTTGCAGAGAG